ATTTGAGAAACATTTGCGCAATTATCGCAGGGCCTACAAATTTAGTATCACCATCTTTTTATTCTACCGGGCCTGCGCTTTCAGAAAATATATGGTTTGGGGGGTCTTTTACAAACGCTAGCAACGCAGCAGTTGAAAATCAAATCAATAGGAAAAAATTGCAGAAAATTCAAAAATGGCTTGGCCAGCTGATTTGAAAAATGTTCCGGAGGGCTTGGCAGCGAAAGGGTTAAAAAAAAACCAAAATCTATGTACGCTTAAGATGTCAGAAAATCCAAAATAAAACTCTTGTTATGAGCATATGGAAATAGAGGGCCAATGAGGGCAAGAGAGATAGTGGGGGTGATTTACTAACCTAAACACACACACACACCAGGTGTGTGTGATTTTCACACAGCAAAACGTATTTATCAATCAAAAAGTCTCTAAAAGCATATTTCCACTAATGCCATATATGGAAAAATCATGCACATGATGCATATATAATGCTGCTTCACAGTTTAGACAAAAATGGTTAGCTCATGCATTTACATTCCTTGCATTCATCAACGCAAGCAACATAACATAGAGCTAATTTACACCACATTACCTTGCAATTCATTGCAAGGCTTTGCACAACACACCTGCTGGGTGTGTACACACTACAAAGGTGTTTCGATTCCTCCCATAGATCATGCTGGGAGGGAACACACTACAGAGGTGTATACACGTTCGTGGTGTGTTTAAAAGGTTAGTAAATCAACCCCATAGAGTCCGGATGGAAATATGTAATTATGGAATTATGTTCTAATGTATTCCTTCAAAAGTCTTTTTTTTTTCCTTCTAACTCAACTAGTGTAATAACCCAAGATCTGCCTATATTCTGACTATCCATGTGCCAGCTTGAATCTGGAAATGGGCTTGCATTAGTAGTGTCTGCTCTGTAAGCTGATTGAATTAGGTTGGGAGCTCAGGCATCACTAGTTTGGTGGCATTTGGTAGAAGTCCTAAGAGCAAACAGGAGGTGAGGCAGTGATAAAAACTCTTCAGAACCGCAGACAAACTGTATTGTGTCATCATCATTTTGTTTTGTAGCCATATACTGTAACACAGAAAAGTGGATAGAAAATGGGCATTTGTATTCACAATCTTCTAATGTGCATTTAGCTGTCTTGCCTTGTATGTGTAAAGCTGGCCATACACTAAGGGTTCTATTCACGAAGCAGACGAAGGATCTAGCCATAGCTTCATCCGATCCTTCGGCTAGCTTCGGCCCCAGGACCTGTTCGGTTCAGTAGAACCGAAGGGCTGCTGTATCGGCTGAGTCGAACTCCTTCTGCACTTCGGGTCGGCCGAACATGCAGAGCATGTTCGGCCGACCCAAAGCCACACGAAACCACCCGATGTACGGCTGATTTCAGACGATGTACGGCTGAAAACAGCCGTACCAGCCTGAAGTGAATAGCCGAACAGCGTTTGGCTCACTTCGCTTTAGGTCGGTCATTCACTCGGCTGCCTACGGCAGCTTAGTGAATAGACCCCAAATTGATTTTTTTTCGGTCAGCTTACGTGTCCGCCTTTTCCCACGTAAGTCGATTGAGTAATTAACATTTGTCGTGCCAGCAGGGTCACACAAAGTTAGAATTTTGGACCATTCCTTCAAATTAAGCAGAAATTCTAGTGCATTGCCAGCTTATGTGTTTTGTGAGCTCGCTTTTCAGAAAGTTTACAATTTTTGTATGTAATTGCCCATTCCTTTCTTTATACCAGACACCTTGAAAAAAACAGTTATAATAAAAATGTACCCACCACTTCTTACCTAAGGAATGAGACATCAGATGGGAATTTAGAAAGTCTAACATTACTTCCAATATTCCTTTTGCTGTTACTGGAAAGAAAAAAAAATTGTTTCCAGATTTCTCTCTTGCCACAAAATAATCACAAATGATGAAAACAAAAGGCAGAGAAAGATCAACAGTAGTAGTATCTGGTCTTGTTAAAACATACTCATCATCTAAGATGTTATGACCTGGATGAGGAAAGCTAGAACAAATGCAGGCACCGGGTGCAGTAATATCAGTCCTTCCAGCATTAACCTTCATTATAAGATCGGTTCCTAATTAACGATTGGTGCTCAGCTTGGGGGAGGTCATTTCGCTGGTGTAATCTTGATATTAAAAACAGAGTCTGGAAAAAGCCAGACCTAGAAAAATGATCAGACCTGGAGCATGGATATGTCAAACCTCATAAACCATACAAATACACATGACCAGATTCAGCACATGCATCACAAATAAATAGAGCTGCATATCTAGCTTATATATTAATATAATTCCGCACTAAATCAATAAATTAAAAAAACAACTTTTTTGGCTTGACATAAACTTCAAACATTTTAGTAATCCTTTATCAAGAGCATTGTGTAGGCTGCTACTGCCAAACTCTCCCTGAGAAAATGCTGGTTGCCTGTCTGCATTCTGCCCCAATAGCCTTTAAATCATTATTGAAGACAAAGATTGCCAGGGAACAAACACCTACACATTTCTCTCTGTAGATTTCCTTTAAATTCACACAGAGAACTACAAAATGGGAATCACAAAAGATAAAGTTGTGATAGGCGTTCGCTTACCTGTGTCAGCTACATATCATACATCACGACAACACCCACACTCTGACATGTTGAATCATGATACTGACCTGGAGTGTGCCATGGTCCGGGTGGACAGTAATACCAAATAAGGGGGCATACTCTGATTGTATGAAAAAGAAGGAAATATAAACCGAGAGGGACGGGTGGGTGGGTTCTGCCGACCACCGCACGCCCTCCTTGTCTCGGCCGGCCCTCTTTTAAGGTGGTGAGGGGGCGCAAACCCCTCCCACAAATACAGGCTAACTCGTTAGCCTTCCCACTTATGGCTCAGTGCATTGTATATAATCAATAAATACCCCAATACCAATATGAACTTTTTTTTAAAGAAAGTTTTAGTTTCATCAATACATATATCACATCAACCATACATTTTTTGAAGAGGTAAATCCACTTTTTTGTATGACTGTAAACAAATCTATTAGACTTGGCATCAGCTAGTCAAAGCAGAGCTCAGCCTGGGAGAGGGATAGGCAGCAGTAGGATCCAATGTGTTATGCTGTGGAGCTGATGTACTAATAAGGAACAGAGCATTATCAGACCTCATCAGTCTCCTTCTTCTCTTTCACTGCCCAATGACAAGCATAGGAGAGGTAGGAATGGTCTGACTACTGCCAAATTTTACTAGGTGCTATACAGGGCCCTGTTTCCTTTACTTCCTGTCCTGATGACAATGGTTTTATCACACAGTATGTACAGAAAAAATCTGGTACAGGGACACAGAAATAACAATCTGACCAAAGTTCAAGCCTTAAGTTGGCCATACACCTATAGATTTTCTGCAGATTTTCTATGGGCAGATGGAAAAGTGCAACAGATTTCTCCATCTACGGTAAACTGTGTGGATGGAGGAATCTCCCACTGGGCCAAGTTTCAGTAACTTGCTAGTTTGCCCAGCTGGCTCTCATAATACCTGAGCAATGCCTGCATCCAATCAGATTGCTCAGGTATTTTGACAGTCAGCAGGGCCGACTAGCAAGATACTGAAGCTTGGCCCCGTGAGAGATTCCTCCATCCACACAGTTTAGTGTAGATAGAAGAATCTGTTGCACTTTTTCCATCTGACCATAGAAAATCTGCAGATAATCTAAAGGTGTATGGCCAGCTTTAGGGTTTCCAATTCTTTCCCGTTCAATCCAAAACTAAGAAAAAAAGTGTATGGCTGGACATAAACTTTAATATAGGCCAAGTGAATCAAAAGAGCAAAGAAGATCTCTTCCACTTTGGGCTATGATCTCCCCATCCTAATTGATCAGTGCCTGGCTTGTAACTGATACCCAGCATGCATCCCACTCAAATCAGCCATGATGTCATCATGTAATGATGACATACCTACACCATTACAGTGTAGACCTATGCTCAATAGACATAACACAGTGATATAAACAACATCCTGAGCAGTAAACCCGTGTTTGTCCATATTGTTATATGAAGAAAGGACTGGAGGACACCAAGCCTATGAGTCTTTCTTCTAACCAACCTAGTACACAAGTGTGTGACATTTCTTCATACAAGTATATGAAATGTATCATTAGGTCTGTAGCATATTTTCTCTTCAAATATCTGCATATGTTAGACCTGGTCAGGGTCTGATTTTAAAGTTCTGCAATACTATGTCTGACCACGAGATGGCAAAGTTTTACCATAGAAGGAGGAAGCTAACATGTCATTGCACTCTTAGAAGCCTAAGAGCCCCTAATGAAGCTGAAGATATTTATACATGTATTTTGATATGCTGGACGGCACTAACTTTATAAAATAAAAAAGTTTATTTTCTTGTATGATTTTTATCCAGACCTTTTTTTAATCAGAAATGAATATTATGTAACAGTTATTAATTATGATTACTTATAATCACATTTTGTTACATATTATTTGATATCGAGTGGAGAGATTCCAGTTAGAGATTCTTGCTCCAAAAGACTACAGACACTGGGTTGGAGGGGGAGTGGGGGGGCTTTCACATGGGCGCTGTCAGTTCCGATCAGCAGGGGGTACATGAATGGATCCCTTACTGATCGAAGTAGTACGGAATGGATGTCACAGTTCTGACATCCATCCTGTGATGTGTCCGTTTACATTATATGAACCCTAATCAGGTCCATCAAAACATAACTCTGTTCCAGTTTTCCAGACCTGGATGCAGTCAGGGGTAATTGGATGTAAACGGACACACATCCACTTAGATCCTGCTGCCCATAGACTAACATTGGCTTTCCAATCAGATCCATCCGAAAAACTGACAGGTGGATCAGAGCGGACCGCCGTCTGAAATGAGCCTTGCATAGACCAGGAAGAGTGCACGGTAGTGTATTTTGTTACTTATAGCTTTATAGAAACTGGGGAGACACAAGTGTAGTACAATGTTATTATTGACTGCTTATTCCTCTCTGGTCTCATTCCCTGTTTTACTTCTGACTCCATACACTGATTTTTGTCAGACTTACTTAAATAATGTCTAGGCCAAAACCCAAAATTGTAATATATCGCAGTTTACAATCCTTAGATGTGGTAACGGCATTCCCTTCACTTTTTGAGGTGTAGACAGATTGTGTCCAGGGACAATCATCTATCCTGATCCTCAAGTAATCATTCCATGTACAATTACATGCGGACACCAACAGACAGATGTGACCACTGCCAGTCTGCCATTAAAGTGACACAAAACTCAGAAGTTAAAGCTTAAAAATCCATTCAAATTAACTACAAAAAAAGTATCTTATTTGTGTATCACTCGGCTGTAGATCCTCAAATCATCTCTGAATTAGTGCTGACACTTCCTTCTTTCTGGAGGGGGGCTATTTTGGTTCCCCATGGTCCCTGTGTGTGTTGTAAAGTAGTCACCACTCCAAGCTCACTTCCGTAATGGACTAAAATCCCACGTTTAGTTTACTAATTTGTATTGAGATTGTAGTCCATCACAGGAGTGAGCTTGGAGCGGTGGGTACTCTTCAACACACACAGGGACCATGGGGAACCAAAATAGCCCCCCTCCAGAAAGAAGGAAGTGTCAGCACTAATTCAGAGATGATTTGAGGATCTACAGCCGGGTGATACACAAATTAACAATACATTTTTGTTAATAGTTAAGGTACTTGAATGCCTTTTTAAGATTTAGCTCCTGAGTTCATTGTCACTTGAAGCTGAATTAGCACAGCGGACACATTTGTATGGATCTGGGATTCCTGCCACAAGAATCTGTAGGTTCTTGCAGCAAGAATCCTCAGCCGCAGTCTTACACTCCATGTGAATGCAGTCTTAGAGCTTTATTTTACTTGTTCCCTAGTGAGGATATAGTCCCTCCCTTTTCTGAATCAGATAAACATTTTTAAATGATCCATATAAATATAAATTAAAACATGACTTATTTTTGTGATATCTTTACAAATTCCTCATGTGCACCACATGCTATTACCACAACAAGCCTTTTACATGTGTGTAGTTACAAATGGTCCCAGCAATGTGTCTTTCACCTGAATCGTTTTTCGTTCATCAGCCACTGGACAAAGTCTTTTGCTTTCATTCTGTCCAGATATCTTGTTAAGTCACTGGAGAAAGTTCCTTCAGAGTGCCGCTTAATATTTGATGTAAAGATCTGGGACTGATATTCTTGCCACCTTTAAGCATGAAATACAAAAAGAAAAGCAGGAAAACCATATAGTTAGGTCAGATGTGTTTCTGTATTACAGATCCGATTCGCAGGGAGCTGACCTCACAATGTCTGCATGCGTTTTGCTTGTTACAGTTATAAATGCACAGAACGATACCTAAAATCCGGTGATTTTGCATTTCATTTCAGAAGGTTTTTCATTATCACAAATATTTCCTTAATCTCTGTAAATCATCACTGTAATCCTGCAGAGCTCAATACCCATACTTGACCACAAGGTGTCAGCAGACACACTTCTGGTCAAGTATGGGTATTATACACCAGGCAGATATCAATTATGAACCCAATACTTTAACACTGCTACTCTAATGATTACAGGGCTTTATAGCCCCCTCCATTTCCAACACCATATATACAACAAATAAGGGTACGACACCAATTCATGTATGCTTGCTTGCTTACGAAGGAGTAATATTTATTAAGAGAATGGAATAAGATGCAGCCTGCTGCCCCCTCTTCCTTTATCACTCTAGGCTACTGCCTTTGTAGGCTATTCACAAATCTGGGCCTGATAATGGTACTGTCTGTATTCTTCCACATGTCCCCCACTGGTGCACAAAAGGCATAACAGTAAAGGCAATCTTATCCCTTCCTTGCAACTTTGCAATATCTATGAATTCTCGATGGACCTATATGTTTTGTGAGAAATACCACTTTCCAGTCCCTGGTATTGTGGCTTTACACACAAATCACAAATTAATAAACCGATCAATATCTACATTTGATTTTACGTAAGGAAATAGTCTTTACAGTAAACATACCATAGTTGTTGTTTAATATTCCCAGTCAGACGATCAGGATCAACGGCCGTAGTGATCTTAGGCTAATTAAGTCTAATATAGTTAAACTGGCTTTCAAATTAGCAGTGCGTAGGGCACATTGAGACCACGAAATGTATCCCCGAGGGAAATGATGTCGAGAAGCACAATTCATGAGGAATTATGCATCTTCCTGGGCAAACATAAAATTCCAGGCTGGGATCATGAATCATATATGACAGTGTGTTAGTCATGGGAATAACCTAATTTCATTACAGACTCGGGAAGTTTTTTTCCTTCACAGAAATTGTATTTGAACTACTATTTGACTTTATTATACATTATTTGTGAAATTTTCTGAAAATGGCATACATTGAGTACATTTTTCTTTTAAACTAACAGACTGAAAATAGAATGATAAAAGATAATATGCAATAACAAGTATCAAAAATAGCAGTAATGTGTAGTAACTTGTAGCAACCTTTTGACTACTAGGTGCAACCCAGCAGGATTTGGTGATTAACTAATGTCTCTGGGACAGGCTCAGACAGTCCTGCACAACAGCTGTGATAGGGTGATCTAAAATTGGCAGGTTACAAAAGCTTGCCCTATACTTTCCCCTGAGATTAGATGGCTCTTGGACTGCTGACTGAAAAACGTAGACTTTACTCACCATAGCCCAATCGTAAGAAATGCCACAGCTATTGTAACAGCCTGTTTTGTTGGGCTTTTGTTTATGTCAGAACTACTTCTCCCCTCATACAAGGCAATGGGAACACAAAGTCAAGAAGGAGGCCAACTACAGGTCAGAAGGAGGCCAACTACAGGTCAGAAGGAGGGCAACTACAGGTCAAATGCATTGGTCAATGACTTCTGAATGATCTCAGGAGTGTGTCAAACTGCTGTTAAATGCAAGCAGAATACACCTGAAAGCCAGCTACATTTCCCTTTAGGTCCTAATTGGATCGCGTTTACATGGCTATTTACTCTTGGCCAATGTTATGGTGTTATGCAGCCAATTTCCTCTAATATGATCGGTCAAGTTGGCAACCAGTTTTCCAATAACTATGTAGTGTAAGGGTATTAACAGACATGAGATTACAGTGAGGCAATCCAGCCACAAATGGTTACATTTGGTGATTATCTCATGTCTTTGGGTGACCACAAACTGTCAGGGTAGCAGTCAATCAGAAAACTTAGAAAAGGGATCCTCATCATTAATGATCTGCCATTGATAAGCCAGACCATCTCCTGCTCAGTGCTCGGCCTTACTCAATAAGAGTTGCTTGTAAGCTTGTTTTTTTTAATGCTTTGTCGTATTGTATGCTAAATGATCTGACAGCATTTTAATCATGCCTGTGTGTCTGGCTGCAATCTAATCTATCCATCTGTTGGCTGTCTATGCTGGCCATACACTAAGGAGGGTATTTATGACTGAGCCATTGAAGAGCCAATTATGCTGCGAAACTCTGTAAATGTTTATTCTTTGTGCTGCAAAAATGAATGTTCTTAGGAAAATGCTGCATTATGGCCACTAGATGGAGCTTACTAGATGGAGCTAAGGAACATAGGAAAGAAGTACTGGAACTGTCTAAAGCCAATAAGGTTTTCTTGTAGTGATTGAACAGATCGCACCATCAAACTCATGTAAAATAATCTTCATTACACCTTCATTACTGATATCAAGGATATGCATTTATTTAAAAGAAATGCTAGTCATTGACAAAGCCAAAGTTGCAGGGTCAAGGCATTTCATCATTGTTTTGCTAAATAAATTGATATCCCTTCAGATAAACAAAGTATGCTGATAAAGATTATTCCGAGGGGGATTTACTCTTACTTCCTGCCCAGGAGACCCAAGAGGCAGTGAGCAGACATATTCCCAAAGTGAGGAGGAATTCCATCTTTTTGCCCAGCAGAAAAAAAGTGATGAATGAATCAAACTGCCCTTCCACCCAGTATTGAAGGGTGCCATCGCCTGACATTGCTTGATTTATGCTAGCCATCCTAGTTCCACTGAAGGCATCCTACTGTGTGTGATACTGCACCATTGTGAATTGTCTGAGAGCTATCTCTGTTTCTTGCAGTCAGGTGGTTTCTAGCAGTGGATGGAAGCATTGCCTATGCCAGAAAATAGTTATCTCAATGGGTTACATTTACAGAGACTGTCAAGTTTTTTTAAATACATTTCTGTATTTCTTTATTACATGTAGCACTAGAGATTAACCCAATTTAAATGTGTTTTATTTCTTTTTAATCACATTAATATAATATATTAACCATATATATAAAGATGCCAGCAAGAGCAGAATCTTTCTTCAGCTCTACACATGTTCTTTGACATATAGGAGGGAGATCAGACTACACAGACTGCCAAGTGACTCTCTTCCTGACAGCATTTCTTGGCTTAGTTGTACAGGATGTTTCCAAGCATGCAGGCAAACTAAGGGGTCTATTCACAAAGCAGCCGAAGGATCTAGCCATAGCTTCGGCTGATCCTTCAGCTAGCTTCGGCCCCAGGACCCCTTCGGTTCAGTAGAACCGAAGGGCTGCTGTACGGGCTATTCACAATAGCCCGTACCGCTCCCGAACTTAGCCGAGCGGCTCAGACGAGCCGAAGGCATATGCCTCGGCTCGGCTGAGCCGCACTGAAAGCCAAAGCTGGCTGAGCTTCTGACAGCTGGGCGCAGCCAGCTGTGTTCTTACAGCTGGCTCCGGTCACTTGCAGAGAGATCAGCGTCCCTGGTTACCAGCTAACCAGGGACACTGATATCCAGACAGCCCAACTCTCCTGGGCGCTCCCAGGAGAGAAACACTGATTTTTCTTTTTTTTTCTGTATTCTGACACGGAGCCGTGTCAGAATAGAAAAAAATAAAAAAAATTTTGCCCATATGAATGCATTGCTAGATTCCTATTGGCTATTTCAATTTGCAATAGCCAATAGGAAACTAGAATTGCACCCGCCCTCTGCTGCAGTTCTCCATCAGGTCCATCAGCAGAGGGCAGGTGCAATGCTAGTTTACTATAGGCTATTGCAAATTGAAATAGCCAATAGGAATCTAGCAATGCATTCCTATGGGTAACAATTTTTTATTTATTTTTTCTATTCTGACACGGCTCCGTGAAAAAGCAGTGTTTCTCTCCTGGGTGGCCGGGATCGGGAGACTCCCAAAGCGGCCAGGAGAGGTTTTTTTTTTCGTTTTTTTTACGGCAGCAGAACCGCCGGACAATAGAAAATTGTCAAAATTGTCAAATTGATTCAAAATCATAATACTCTCCCTTTAAATAAGGAGATAATCTATCAATAATATATTTGCATACCATTTCTTTCCAGTAGAGGGAGAACTTGCTTTATATAACTCTTCTAAATAAATCCATGCATTTGAAAAGAAAAATCTGTCTAGTCATGTAAAAATGGTACAAAAATCAAGTGTACTTTTTGATATACAACACATATACCATATTTACTTATGAGGATTGTGTATTTGAAGTAAATAGTTATTGATAGACTTTGATGACACTTAAAAACTCTTGGGAGCTTTTGCACAGAGGTTGTGAGTGCCATATCTCAAACAACATAATATTGGCATGTCCTAAAGCTGTTCAGTTAGCAATCTTCAAAAAGAGAATCATTAAAAACTAAATACTGTCAGTCAATATATACAGTATCTCACAGCACTGAGTACACCCGTCACATTTTTGTAAATATTTTATGATATCATTTCATGTGACGACACCGAAGACATGACACTTTGCTACAATGTAAAGTAGTGAATCTGCAGCTTGTATATCAGTGTACATTTGCTGTCCCCTCAAAATAGCGCAACACACAGCCATTAATGTCTAAACCGCTGGCAACAAAAGTGAGTACACCCCTAAGTGAAAATGTCCAAATTGGGCCCAATTAGCCATTGGGGTGTACTGATGGGGTGGTCATAATAATCTGGCCACTCAGTGTATATATTGTAGCAGAGCATCCCAGAGGGAGCCTGGGAAAGTGAGATAGGAATTGTGGGGAAAAAATAAAACAAGAGAATTAAATAATAAAAGTAAAAAGCTGGAGCTGAAAAACAATGAGATATAAAGATATAGGATATAAACAATGTTAAGAAATTAGAGGTTATATTTTAGAAACTCTAAGGGGATGATGTACAATTAAAGTTTTATTTACTGCTTGTGAAGAATACG